TTGTGTTCCATTTGGAAATGGCATGCAAAAGCAATCACAGGTAAACCTGTGTAACTCCATCTGGCAAATTCAGAATAGAAAGAGAGATCTTGAGAGAAAGAAATGCTGTTTGTTCAAAAGTGGAGTTGTTTTAACAGATGCCAATTACAGTGTATACTTTAACAGAGTCTTCTGTTGCATTAGGGTAAACATTAAATGCAATGCAGCTACCATGAATATCACCTGATTAGTGGCAAGGGTTCTAAAATGACATATGAGAAGATCCTGTCACAATTCTTAGATCTGGTGTCCAGCATGGATGAATCCTTTGTGTTTGGTCCCTAAATATACATGAAAGCACAAGGTAAATATCCATTTGCTTTAGGATTTTCATGTTGGATCTGTCATTATCAAAAATCAACAGTAAAAACCGGTCGGACAAAATTTAACATTGGCATAATGAAATTCCGGATGTAGGCTTTCCCCCACGTCTTCTCATGTGCAGATTGCAGTTCTGATTTATTTCAATAAAAACGATCTTGGAAAACATGATCTGTATGTTGCCTCGTTGAATAGATCCAGAGACTCACAACTTAGATGCTGAAATTTGGGCACATGTTATTTGTGATGCATTCCATTATTTTCTTATTGTTAAAGGGCCCATTATACAGAAGTAATTCAAGGTCATGGTCAAAGCGGGCTATTTTTTTTTTTTTTTTCAGATCCTCCCTTTCTCAGATCTAAAGTCATCATTTCTTAGGGAACTGTCCAGATCACAATATACACAATTGAATACCAACTCTAGGCAAACTCTACTTTGCCTGATGTACTCCTGTGATATTGTGCTGGCCTAGAGCCAGAACCAGAGCAAAACTATTTTATAAAATGCAAAACTGTTTTTAGATAAGTTGAAATGGCTGCCCCATTCTCCTCACAATAACTACTGTCCTTGGCCTCTGTAAATAGAACTGCCAGTTTGTTCTTCAAAACTATGTAAAGCTGCTTACCTTTTCTTATCAGTAACTGCTCTCTGTGGCCCTAATGTGACAGGCAAGCAGTCCTAACCCATGCCATCTTGGCTCCTGCGACTTGTAATAAGTAACTAAGGTCTGTGATTTCCACCTTAACCAGATAATGTGTAAACAAATGTTTATCTTGACTTCTGTAAACCACTTAAGTAACAAACGGAATGACAAAAGTCCCCATCCCTTGGAATGTCCGGGGACCCCCACCCTCATCTCTGCCCAGGAGGTAATTTACAGAATCCCCTGGCCCTCGGAATGTCTGAAGCCTTTTCATCCCCATCCCTGCCCCTCACCCCTACTCCCAAGGTGGTTTTTCGGGTATAAAAAATCGTGGCACCCTCCTGTTGCCACCACAGGTTGGAGAGACGTGAGTCCTCTGTGGTCGCCGGCATAATAAATGACCCTGCAACCTGGCATACTTTTGTCTTGTGATAACTTTCTACGCTCAGGTCAAATACAACACTCCTAAACATACATCAGTAAAAATGAATTTTTTAAAAACTACACACAAGAAGCTTGCAATTTAAACAAGACTATATAGTGTATAATTCTTTTGGAGGAAATTATCTCTTCCCATTTTTTGAAAACCTGATTTTTCCATCACCCATTTAAATAATTCAAGTTATTCAAGCCAAGTTAGTAGTGTCACTCTTGCAACTTTTACCTATTTATTTTTCAGTATCTCAAATCACCAAACACACAGTGGAAGGATATGGTCCTAAAGTTCTTATCTTTCCTAAAAAAAAATCAGCCTGACCGGGCACAGCAGCTCACTCCTGTAATCCCAGCACTTTGGAAGGCCGAGGAGGGTGAATCATGAGGTCAGAAGATCGAGACCATCCTGGCCAACATGATGAAACCCTGTCTCTACTAAAAACACAAAAATTAGCTGGATGTGGTGGCATGCAACTGTAGTCTAAGCTACTCAGGAGGCTGAGGCAGGAGAATCTCTTGAACCTGGGAGGCAGAGGTTGCGATGAGCCATCATCGTGACACTGCACTCCATCCTGGCAACAGAGCAAGACTGTCTCAACAAAAAAAAAAAAAAAAAGAAAAAAAAAATCAGTCTTTCCTCAACCCCACTGCACACTCAGCCTGGTAGAACAACATGTTTTCTTTTTTCCCTCTCTTTTCACAAATAACTTCTGTAAAAGAATTCTCTACACATCTCTATATCCACTTTCTCACCTCCATTGGTTATTCAGCTCCTGTGACCTGGCTTCTGTCTCCACCACTCCTGAAGAGCTCCTTTCAGGGTTATTGAGGACTTCACCTTTGTGAACACAGCCCTTTACAAAGATCTCCCTTTAGGCTCCCAAAGCATCTCTCTCCAGTGTCCTCCTGGAGCATGGCCGTCTATTTCTCGGTCTCCTTCCAATGCTCATCTCTCCAATCCTTAAATTTAGGTGGCATTCACAGGTTCTCTCTTGGCCCACCCCTTACTCTTTCCTTGGGCGATTTCATTTGCTTATTGCTTCACCTGCTCCCTTTGGTTCTCTCGTCACAGTAGAGCTCCAGCCACCCCTGTATTCATGACATGTCTCCACCCAGATGCACCTTAAACCAGAGGTTGGCAACCTTTCTCTGTAAGGGGTCAGATGGTGAATATGTTTTGTTTTCTGGGCCATGTGGCCTATGTCTCCTTAACTCTGTTGTAGCATAAAAGTAGCCATAGGCAATAAGTAGGTGAATGGACACTGCTGTGTTCTCCAAAAATTACAAAAGCAGGCCACATGGGCCACAGTTTATGGCCCCTGCCTTAAACCACTGTCCTGACCTGCACACCCCCACAGCTCTCCTAGCCATGTTCCCTTTCTTGAATTGCTCCACCTTCATCATATCACTGGAGCCAGAGGAATCTAAGTCAGCCTTCCCTCTCCCTTCCATCCACCCTTGGTCACCAAGCTGCTTCTCCATCTTCACTGACAATACCCTCTTAAAGTTTTCATAATGTCTCTTGGCTAGTGAGGCATTTTCCTTTTTCTTTTACGCTTCCAGCCCCCTGAGTTTTGGCTAGACATACGGCTATCTTTTGGGCACTACATTTCCCAGACTCCCTTACAGCAAGTGTGGTGAGTAACTAGGCTTTGGCCAGTGGTAAGTAAGTGAAGTATCTACTAAGACAAAACTGCAGATCCTTGACTTATTCCACTGGAAATGGCAGCAATCAAACAAACCATGTGTTAAATCTGAAGAACTGCTGAGCATGAACCTGGAAGACTGGTTCATAGTAGAGAGGGTCTTTTTGTTACAGCAACTCAGCCTGTACGCAGCCACCTTGCCCACTACCGTCCCTGTGCACAGCCTGTGCCACCACCAATCCCTCCTCAACACTGCAGTTTCTTACAGTGCAGATCTGATCATGACACTCCACATTTAAGATGGACAAGCAAATGAGAAAGAAATCACTGCCTTCAAGAGGGTTGAAGCAGGATGAAGTGATAGAGGAACAGAAGAGCTCCTTTGCATTGTATAGTGAGGGAAGGTTTCTGTGAAGGTGGCAGGAAAAAACCAGGTATGCCGTGTTCAGACAGTGGGCACAACTAGTACAAGGGTCTTGAGGATTGGCTTGTTCCAAAAGCGAAAGGTGGAAGAGCGTGATTAGCACTCTTATGGTATGTTCCCGTTGCAGGGTTAACTCAACCTCACTAGGGCGTTGAAAAGGGCTGGCCGTGAACTCAGGGCGGCTGGATGGGTCTAGCGAGCTGTTTCCTGAAACACTGTGGTGGGTGGGGGAAAGCAGGTTGCAGCTGAACACCCGCCTTCCTCTGGCCATGACTTGGAGCCTGGCTTGCAGTGCTGCTTACTCCAGGGCCTTCTGAATCAGAAGCACACAAAAGCCAAACCTCTGCCTCAGAATTGATCCTGTGGAGTGATGCTGGGGCTGCAGACTCCACCCTGAGTCACCTCTCCAGCCTGTCTCTCATGGCTGCCTCCTTGCCCTTGACATTTCAGCAGTCCATAAACCTGACCTCCAGGAGCACTCCTTTATGGGAAGCATGGTCCTGCCTTAAGAACCTGCCCTTGGCCAGGCCGGTAGCTCATGCCTGTAATCCAAGCACTTTGGAAGGCTAAGTCCTCAAGGCTAACTCAGCACTTGAGGTCAGGAGTTCAAGACCAGCCTGGTCAACATGGAGAAACCCCATCTCTATTAAAAATACAAAAATTAGCTGGGTATGGTGGTGAGTGCCTGTAATCTCAGCTACTCAAGTGGCTGAGGCAGGAGAATCACTTGAACCTGTGAGGCGGAGGTTGCAGTGAGCTAGACTCTAGCCTTGGTGGCAAAGTGAGATTGTCTCCAGGGAAAAAAAAAACAAAAAACAACCTACCCTTAGCTGGTTCATATCTGTAATTCCAGCGACTCCAGAAGACAAGGAAGCAGGAGGATTGCTTGAGACCAGGAATTTGAGATCAGCCTAGACAATATAATGAGACTCTGTCCCTAAAAACTAAAAATTTAAGAATTAGCTGGATGTGGTAGCTCATGCCTGTAGTCCCAGTTACTTTAGAGGCTGAGGCAAGAGGTGTGATTGAGCCGAGGAGTTGGAGGCTACAGTGAGCTATGATCACATCATTGCAACTCAGACTAGGTGACAGAGTGACAGTGAGGCCCCATCCCGAACACACACACGCGCGCACACACACACACACACATTGTCCTTTATCCCTTCTTAACCTGACAAGTTGACTGATTTGTCTTGAAGGTGGGATCGCCAAGATAAATCCCTCACATTCAAACTAGTCCCCCAGTGTCTGTCAATCCTATCCCTAACAACAAATTGCCACCTTTCATCCACTCCACTGTGCCCTCTGGAAGGGTCACCAAAAGACACTTAGGACCATAGCAAATATGATTCTTGACACAGAACCAGAAGTTATTTTCAATTTATTTTGCTTTTTTTCCTATTTTAGCACAATAATGATAATATTTAAAATCATATTTTTCTGTGCTATAATTAAAACTGTTATTTCAATTGAATTTGAAATAGAATTCATGGTCTAAAATAGACTGAATCCCAGTGTGAACATACATTTGCATGTCTTCCTGGTCTCAGCTCAGTGGGTGGGAGGGGAAGTGTTTCTGTATTCCTTTAGCACACACACCCTCATACAATTCATTTTTTTTAAACCTCACAGATTATTTTTTGCATTTGCTAGACCATCTTATAAGACCTAGGCTCACAAAACTCTGGCATCCTTTGGATTAACTAAACCCATGGTTCCCCAAGATGGGGAGCGGGAGGGAGCCTCGAGGCAGCCCAGACTCCGAACTGCAAACCTCTCTTTCCAGAACTCCATTGCCACACCTTGGCATACACCAAATGTTGACAAAGAAGGCTGTTCCCATACAAGGGCCAATTTTAGAGCAAGCGCCCCATGGTTGCAAAACTGTAAAACCCTCAACCCCAAAGCTGTGTGTAGTGCTTTGTGTGTGACAGAGCTGGGGCAGAGCTCTCTGATGCACTCAGGAAAACCATTCCCTTTGCTCGTGGTAGGCAGCCCCTGGTGGTTGCTCTGCCTTGCCAAGTGTTGTGTGTCCAAGGTGTGGTCATGTTTCGCATTTGCTGCAAAACACCCTCCCACCCTTGCAGAGAAAGAGTCTTTTGTGCAGCACCCTTTAAAAGGTGACTCGTCCCACTTGGATTCTCTCTCCTGGTGCAGTGTTGCAGGCGGGTTAATTAGAGCATCGCCATGAAGTTCATCCCATGCCTCCTGCTGGTGACCTTGTCCTGCCTGGGGACTTTGGGTGAGGCCCCAAGGCAAAAGCAAGGAATCACTGGGGAGGAATTCCATTTCCAAACTGGAGGGAGAGATTCCTGCATTATGCGCCCCAGCAGCTTGGGGCAAGGTGCCAGGGAAGTCTGGCTTCGCATAGACTGCCACAACACAGATCAGACGTACTGGTGTGAGTACAGGGGGCAGCCCAGCGTGTGCCAGGCTTTCGCTACTGACCCCAAACCTTATTGGAACCAAGCCCTGCAGGAGCTGAGGCGCCTTCACCATGCATGCCAGGGGGCCCCGGTGCTGAGGCCATCCGTGTGCAGGAAGGCTGGGCCCCAGGCCCACATGCAGCAGGTGACTTCCAGCCTCAAGGGCAGCCCAGTGCCCAACCAGCACCCCGAGGCTGGGACACCATCTCTGAGTCCCAAGGCCTCAGTGAAACCCACAGAAGCAAGACAGCTGGGAAAGGACTCGATGGAAGAGCTTGGAAAAGCCAAACCCACCACCCAACTCACAGCCAAAGCTACCCAGCCTGCACCCAGGCCCGGAGGGAATGAGGAAGCAAAGAAGCAGCCCTGGGAACACTGTTGGAAACCCTTCCAGGCCCTGTGCGCCTTTCTCATCAGCTTCTTCCGAGGGTGACAGGTGAAAGACCCCTACAGGTAACACCCTTTCCTTTACTCATATACAGAAAGTACGCGAGAGGCACTTAGCCCTTTCACAACTGCTGCAACCACATCAGAGGGTCAGCATGTGTTTTAGCTCTTTCACAACTGCTGCAACCACATCAGTGTCAGCATGTGTTTGTGGGTGGGTTTGGGGCTGTCTGTTGCAGAGCAGAGTAGATGAGTGGCTCATCAGGAGGCACTTGACCCTGGTGATGCACAAGAATCACCTACAAGGAGATTTAAAAATGCTGATGCCCAGGCCCCTCGCCAGACCGTTTCACCGTGTCTCCAACATAGTAGCCCAGGAGCCTGTACTTTTAAAACTCTCCCCCAAGTGATTTGAATGTGCAGCCAAGGTTGAGAATCTCCCTGTAATGGGACCACCTCACTATTAAACTGAGGCGTTTGGAATTCTGCTTGGTGATGTTTCCTACTGCACCAAGCCTTGGCTGCAGTTGTTTGTGGCTGAGGTGCTATGTCACAGTGGAGGTGTCACCTCATCATTCTTGTTCTGTTTCCCCTCCTACAGAGTTGAGTTAGGGTGGGGGGGATGTTTTGCATGGAGGAAAGTCTGAGTCAAATAATCTTCAGTCTTTCTCACAGCTCTCAAAGACTTTAATCATTTTTTTTCATTGCAGAAGAAAAAATCTAGTTAATAATAACAGATTTAATCAACTCGAGTGTTGCTTTTATTTATTTTTTATTTTTAATTTTATTGTTATTATTATTTTTAAATAGAGTTTCGCTCTTGTTGCCCAGGCTGGAGTGCAATGGCGCGATCTCTGCTCACCACAACCTCCTCCTCTCGGGTTCAAGTGATTCTCCTGCCTCAGCCTCCTGAGCAGCTGGGATTACAGGCATGTGCCACCACGCCCGGCTAATTTTGTATTTTTAGTACCGACCGGGTTTCACCGTGTTGGCCAGGATGGTCTTGATCTCCTGACCTCGTGATCCACCCACCTCAGCCTCCCAAAGTTCTGGGATTACAGATGTGAGCCACTGGGCCCAAACCCCGAAGTGTTGCTTTTAAAAGGCCAAACTTTTTCTTGTGGAAATAAGACTTATGATTGATCTCTATCCTTGAATGCAGCACTTTTCATTAATTTTATACACCAGCAAGGAGTTCATTTACATGGAGTTCTAGTCTTATTTGTGCATTCTGAGTTTAAAAGGAGAGTTTCTGAGGTTTTTTATATTATCTATGTAAAAAAATAGGACAAAAGCAGATTTCTTGATAAAAAGCACTTTGATAACTAATACCACAAAACAAATAAGGCTTTTTCTAAAAATGCCCAGGCAGCAAGAAATGTTGGGTCATACTGGAGTTGGTTTAGTATCTGCTCTTCTGGGCTGGAGGTTTTCTGCTTGTTTAATATTTCAGATCTGTCCCAGAGGAGAAAAGGGGCCACTGAAGCCAGAATAAATTACTATTGAAGAGAGGTCCTTTTTTTTTTTTTTCTTTTAAAAGTCGATTTTTTTGGTCTTTCCACAAATAAGACATACAAATCATTTTTAAAATTCAAACACAACAGAAAAATACAAAGAATTTTAAAACCTCATAATCCCACCACAAAGAGGTAAACAATGTGAACAGTTAGAACAGTACCCATTTAGACATCCATCTACGCATATTGATACGGACAAATACACAGCTTATATGCAGATGCATGCAGGGGGCTGAAGCTTAAAACAGTATCTTGATCCGGCAGATAAGCTGCATAGGACTACTGTATTAGCCTGCTAGGGCTGCTACAGCAAGATACCATAGACTAGGTGGTTTAAACAACAGCAGAAATATGTTTTCTCACAATTCTGAAGACTGAAAGTTCAAGATCAATGTGTCAGTAGGATTGGTGTCTTCTGAGGACTCTCTCCTTGGCTCACAGATGGCGTCCTTCTCACTGGCATTCCTTAGTGTGGATCTGTGTCCTCATTTCTTTTGTTAGGACACCAGTCACACTGGATGAAGTCCCACCCTAACAACTCCATTTAACCTAAACCACCTCTTTAATGGCCCCTATCTTTAAATACGAACACTCCCTGAGGTACTGGAGGTTAGGCCTTCAATTTAAGGATTTTAGGTTTTGGAAGGGACACCACTCAGCCCATAAAAACTAACAAAGAATTTTTCACATACCTTGCTTTTTTTATTTTTGTTTTTAGAGCTGACTTCTCCCTGACAGAGAACAACCTCTTTTTATATTATGCTGCTTTCAGTCCAACGTTTTCACACTGGATGAAGGGAGTTTCTAATCAGATGCACCTGCGCAAATTCTTGATCTGCAGCATCTCTGAAGTTTGGAAAAGAAAACTTCCTTTCTGGAAGGAGCTGACAGGCCCAAGGGTGACAAACATACACATCTACATTCTAGCTGTAGAAGCTTTGCTTTGTTGATTAGAGCCTTCTATGAAAGTTTAAATATGTACCACATTCATGAATTTCCAGTTCAGCCTTCTAAGCAAGAAGTGAATTTGTCACATTTCATTGCATGGCAGCATGGACTTGTAGTTAGAGAAAGTACAGTGAATAGCAGCTATGTGTGTGCAAAATAAAGGAATGATTTCAGAAATATTACCTTAATCTTCTTAACAAACTCGACACCTAGATGCTATAGAGATCATGAATATCCATTAAGTCACTGTTATTTTCTTCAGGCTGCCATCATGCATTACACAGACTAGGTGGCTTAAAGCAACAGAAATGTGTTATCTCACTGTTATGGAGGTAAGAAGTGCCTCAAGGTGTTGCCAAAGTTAGTTTCTCCTGGAGGGCTTGAGGAAAAATCTGTTAAATGCCTCTCTCCCAGTTTCTTAAAATTACTGGAATCCTTGACATTCCTTGGCTTGTAGACACATCACTCTGATCCCTGTAAGGGAGTTTTCCCTTACACATGTGTTCAAATTTCCCTCTCCTTATAAGGGCACCAGCCATTGAATTAGAGCCCATTCTAATCAAGAATGACCTTGTCTTAATTCCATTGTGTCTACAAACACCCTATTTCCAAATAAGATCGTATTCACAGATTCCAGATGGACATAAATTTTTGGCGGACACTATTCAACCCAGCACAGCCACCCTACAGCAACAGCAACTAGCCAGAAGGATAAAGAAGTGGACCAGGAAGAGAACAACCCTGTACACTCAGCAATTAAATTAAATCAACAGAGTTGGAAAGGACAAAATTAGATTTTATCAGACATACGCCAAAAGTGACTCACTCCCTTCCTAATTTCATATTTGTCTGACCCAAGAACACATTAATAGTCCACTCTTTTTTTTTTTTTTTTTTTTTTTTTGAGAGAATTTCCCCTTTTTACCCCGGGGGGAGTGCTGTGGCACAATCTGGGCTCACTGCAACCTCTGCTTCCTGGGTTCAAGCGATTCTCCTGCTTAAGCCTCCTGAGTAGCTGGGATTACAGGCATGTGCCACCACACTTGGCTAATTTTTGTATTTTTAGTAGAGAAAGGGTTTCACCATGTTGGCCAGGCTGGTCTTGAACTACTGACTTCAAGTGATCTGCCAGCCTCAACCTCCCAAAGTGTTGGGATTATGGGTATGAGCCGCCACGCCCCGCCCAATAGTCCACTCTTGATGTGCTTAAATTGTTTCCCCATCTAGCCCAGTAGTGCCCAATCCCAGCTGCATAATGGAGTCACCTGGCACAACTTTTCAAAAATACTACTGCCTGGGTGCCAGCCCCAGTGATTATGGTGTAACTGGCCAGGGATGGGGCCAGAGCATGTGCAGTTTTACATTTCCCTGGTGACTCTAATATGCAGCCAAGGTTCAGAAACACTACCCTTGATTAATTGAATTAGAATCTCTGGGGCATATCCCAGGTAATTTCCAGGCAATTCTATGTGTAACCTGGGTTGAAGACTACTAATACGGCCTCTATATGTAGTTCACACAATTAACAAATATTTGTTCATCATCAACTATGTCCCAAAGGCACCGTGTAAGACATTGGATAGGGGAGAGATGAGCTAACTGAAACTGACTAGATTTCACATCTTAGAAGTACAGTGAGTGTGTGAGATGGCACAGAAGGCTGTGGGTAGGAGGAGTCAGGGCACATTTGCTGGGGATGAGTTTCTAAAATGTATACATCAAGCATCTACTGTGACATACCAAGTCTATCTCTTATGAGGGCTCTGTGCCTTTCACTTGCCCCCTCATATAATTCTCACCACATCCCTAAGAGGTAAGTAATTATTCCCAATTTAAAAACTGAGGGACTTGAAAGCCTGGAGAGGTGAGTTGCACACAGCTTGTAAGAGTCAGGACAGCAGAGAAATCCAGATACACCCAATTCTAAAGCTCATGGCTTTCAATTTATAAACATCACAGAATAGGCTGGGATTTGTCACAGACCATTTTTCACTAACATTTTAAAGTAAGGTCACCATATAACTGATTTTAATGATGAAACACAATTCAAATATGTGTTACCAAAAGGGCGACAGGTGGGCCAGAGGCGTCTGCTTCTCTTGGGGAATGTTAGTAATGCTAATTCTCAGCTGGGTGTGGTGGCTCTTTGGGAGGCTGAGGCCAGCAGATCACCTTAGGCAAGAGTTTGAGACCACCCTGGCCAACATTGTGAAACCCTGTCTCTACTAAAAATACAAAAATTAGTTGGGCATGGTGGCTTGCTCCTGCAATCCTAGCTACCCAGAAGGCTGAGTCAAGAGAATCACTTGAACCAAGAAGGCAGAGGTTGCAGTGCGCTGAGATAGAGCTAATCCACTCCAACCTGGGCAACAGAGCAGGACTCCATCTCAAGAAAAAAAAAGCGAATTCTCAGGCCCCACCTCAGACATACTGAACCAGAGTATCTGGAGTGAGGTGCAGGAATGTGTATTTTAACATTTCCATGTGTTCTATGCACAGTAACATTGGCCAAGCAATATTTTAGTCATCCTAAAAGGAGAGGCCCTGAAACTTTTCTGAAGAAGTTTTTGCCCAAGAAGTGTGGGCTAAGCCAGATTTCAGACTATGGGTTGTTAGGCAAAACAGTCTGTGCCTACATAACTGCTGCACAAACCAAAGGACAAGGTGGAGTGAGTCCCAAGAGTTGCTTTTGCAGGGGTGTTTCACAGGTCATATCAGCAGGCCCAAAGCTCACCGTCAGTGGGAAATGCTTGTCTCCCTGTGCAGGGAGTTCCTGCACCTCCCGTGCCTTTCCTGAGCACTGCTGTTACAGGAAAGGGTTCCTGATCCGGACTCCAAGAAAGGGTTCTTGGATCTTGTGCAAAAAAGGAATCAGGGTGAGTTCATAGAGCACAACGAAAGCAAGTTTATCAGAGAAGTAAAGAAACAAAAGAATGGCTGCTCCATACGCAGAGCAGTGGTGTGGGCTGTTTGACTAAAGAGACTTATAGTTATTTCTTGATTATATGCTAAACAAAGAGTGGATTATTCATGAGTTTCCCAGGAAAGGGGTGGACAATTCCTGAAACTGAGGGTTCCTCCCCTTTTTAGACCATATAAGGTAACATCCTGATACTGCCATGGCATCTGTAAAATGTCATGGCACTGGTGGGAGCGTTTTTCAGCATGCTAATGCATTATAATTAGCATATAATGAGCAGCAAGGACTACCAGAGGCCACTCTCGTCACCATTTTGGTTTTGGTGGGTTTTGGCCAGCTTCCTAACTGCAGCCTGTTTTATCAGCAAGGTCTTTGTGACGTGTATCTTGTGCCAACCTCCTGTCTCATCTTATGACTAAGAATGCCTTAACCTCAGCCAGTAGGTCTCAGCCTTGTTTTACCCAGCCCCTATTCCAAAGATGGAGTCGCTCTGCTTTGAATGTCTCTGACACTGTTTCCCTAGGTAAGAGTCAGTAACGCCCTCAACATCACTGCCCTCCTGTAAGCAAGCATTTATCTCATTCCTCTTCCCCTGAGACCTCAAACATATGCTCAAGGGCCATGTCTGAAGTTCCAAATCAGTTCTATTATGATTTGTTTTTTAATAAAAACGGGGATTGGAGAGAGAAAAATTATCCTTCAAAAGAAAAACTATAGGACACTGTTGTTATACCTGTTCTTGAATTTTTTTCTGCAATTTAGACTAAATCCTAAATTCTTAGATTTGTGAGTTAGAAGTCCCCAAACTAATGCTTTCAAATCTTAGCTTTTGTTTTTGTTTTGAGATGGAATCTTCTTCTGTCACCCAGACTGGAGTGCAGTGGCGTGATCTCGGCTCACTGCAACCTCTGCCTTCCCGGTTCAAGCAATTCTTCTGCCTCAGCCTCCCAAGTAGCTGCAACTACAGATGCCTGCCACCACGCCCATCTAATTTTTTAATATTTTTTGTAGATACAGGGTTTAACCATATTGGCCAAGCTGGTCTTGACCTCCTGAACTCATTATCCTCCAGCCTTAGCCTCCCAAAGTGCTGGGATTACAGGTGTGAGCCACTGCACCTGGCCCAAATCTTTGCTTTTAAAATTGGGAATTGTACTCCTCATCCTAGGACTCATTATTTACCTTATACTAGGCTGTTCACTTAATATGGTAGTAAAATGATAGATAAAAGTGCTAATGTTTTACTGTGCAAGACTTGAAAGCCCAGCCAGGCCTGCATGAGCAAGCTGACAGTGGCAAAGCAGTTCCAGTCTTCACGCCTTGGGGTTCACTCTCCCTCCCACTTCATAGCCTACACCTTAAGATTAAGATGTTATAAAACCAAATCAGAGGAATTGAAACTGTCTTCGCAAAATTATGACTGAGACAGTGAAAGAGATCTAGCTTAACTGACTCCCTCTTGCTTTTAACCTCCAAGCTGTCCTTATTCATTCCTGGGTGTAGGCTGAACTAAGTTTGGGAGAAACTTAGTTTATAGTTTAAACAAAGACAGTAACATCCCTTTCTTAAAGGATATCTCCTTCTTACCTGGGAACTACATTGCCTTTGTAGGACTAACATTAGCCATAGGTTTAGAAAAAATTTTCTAGGAGTCATGCAGCTGGAGGCGACAAGGTTCTGACCCTCCTTAAACTGCTCCTAGATCAGTGCTTGAGATATTTTGCAGACCCTGCACTTGATGGATCAGCTGGCACCACCCAGATTGATAAACTGGCTCATCTGGTTTTGTGGCCCCCCACCCAGGAACTGACTCAGCACAAGAAGACAGCTTCGACTCCCTATAATTTCATCTCCGACCAATCAGCACTCCTGGCTCACTGGCTTCCCCCCACCTACCAAGCTACCCTTAAAACTCTGTTCCCCTTTGGGAGGCTTAGGAGGGTAGATCCTGAGGTCAGGAGTTCAAGACCAGCCTGGCCAAGATGATGAAACCCCATCTATACTAAAAATACAAAAATTAGCTGGGCATGGTGGCATGTGCCTGTAATCTTAGCTACTCAGGAGGCTGAGGCAGGGAATTGCTTGAACCTGGGAGGCAGAGGTTGCAGTGAGTTGAGATCATGCCACTGCACTCCAGCCTGGGTGACAGAGCAAGACTGTCTCAAAAAAAAACCAAAACCAAAACAACAACGAAAAATGAAAAAAAAAAAAAATCTTTGCTCCCCGAATGTTCAGGGTGACTAATTTGAGTAATAACAAAATTCCAGTCTCCCACACAGCCGCCTCTGCATGAATTACTCTTTCTCTATTGCAGTTCCCCTTGTCTTGATGTATTAGCTCTGTCTAGGCAGCAGGTAAGGTGAATCCCTTAGGCACTTACAATAGCAGGCTTCTATAAATAGCACATCACATTACTTTGTGAGGGAGTAAATGTCTTGCTACTGGAAAGCTTAAGCAAAGGCGG